AAAAATTCCCCCCAAAAAAAAAAAAAAAAAAAAAAAAAAAAAAAAAAGAAGAGAGAGAGAAAAAACTTCATGTTTGAGAACAGTTTTAGGTTTACAGAGAAATCAAGCAGGACAGAGTTACCGTGTCTTGCCCTCCCCTACTTGTTTCCTTTATTTATTTATTTATTTATAGATATTTTTGCCATAGGGTATGTGCACTTGCTGGGGAGGGAGAGAGAGAGAGGGAGGTAGGGAGAGAGGAAGAGAGAGAGAGAGAGAGAAATTACCCAGCTAGGAGGATGGCCATGCTGCAGTCCCTTCTCCATCCTTTTCTTGGGATTTTGGGCATGCATGCTCACACATCTGGTGTGATTTTCAAGCTGTCGGGTCTGGGACTTGAACTGCAGTTGAATGTGGGAGTCTAGGACCTTAACCACTTCATCACCTGGGCAAGCCTCAACCTTTCATGACTTTCAGTCTCCTCACCACTTGCTGGCCCTGAAAGTTCTGACACTGACCCTTATTCCCAAATCAATTCTGGCCCTTGACCCAATCTTCACTCCAACTCTGATTCTGACTCTGAAATGTACTTCTGCCCCTCCTCATCTGTTCTGACCCAAATTTAGCCCTTTACCTGTTTTGACCTTAATCTCTATTTTTATTTTAATTCTGTTTTAACCTGGGCTCTACTTCTCAGCCAACTCCAATATGGGTCATATATCCTAATTTCCTCGCATCTCTTATCCTGACCCTACCTTAACCCCGACTGGAGCCTGTTCTTTACGATAATCCCATTTCTAAAGTCCCAGCCGATCAGAGCACACCCCTGACGCATCTCCAGCCTGAACCCACCCTTTCAAATCCAGCTGTGCCTTCAGGGCCCTGCCTTCTACAACTCTCTGATGTTTCCTTCCTGGCCAAGTTCTCTCACCTCCAGAGAGCTCAGAGTTCAGAAAAGAGCCTCAGCCCACAGAGGCCATCTTGGAGCAGCAGCTGTGTGACCTGGGGCTGGGCTGGGACTGGGGCAGCCGCCGCGGGTTTCTCTTTTCCTGCCTGGGAACTGACCCCTCATGCCCTTGTCTTGGCAGTGTCACCCTGCTCTGGATGGGCAGCGCGGCAAGTGCTGGTGTGTGGACCGGAAGACGGGGGTGAAGCTTCCAGGGGGCTTGGAGCCGAAGGGGGAGCTGGACTGCCACCAGCTGGCTGACAGCTTCCGAGAGTGAGCCCTGCCAGCGAGCCCCACACTCTGGAGGCTGCAGAGCTGACCTGGAGTGAAGTCTGGGTCTGGGTCCTGGCTCTGCCACTGGCCCAGAAGTTTCCCTGGGAGTGTGTGTGTATGTGTGTGTGCGTGCGTGTGTGCGCATGCATGTGTGTTCATGGGCATGGGTGTGCCCTTGGGGTGAGCCAGAGCCTGGTGTGTCCTCCTTGGGCTTAGATAGCCTTAGAGGACTGAAAGTGGCCCTGGGGAGCCCTGGTGTGTCTCTGAGTTGATCCTGGATTCATTAATTCATTTGTTCATTCATTCATCCAGTCACCTAAAAACATTTATTGACCACATACTACATGCCAGCTCTAGTTTTCAGCCTTGGGAACTCATATTTTGACTTCCTCTGATTTTGGCAGGTGGGGCCACTCCTATAAGGTGAGCACAGGCCTGTGGGAGAAGAGAATTCTCATCCTCAGAGTCAGAGAAGACAGACATGTTCCTTGACCACTATCCCGAGTCATAGGGTGGGAGCCAGAGGGAAGGCATGGGTTGGCAGGTGGCTCAATGGTCATGAGACCCAGACCCACTCCCAAAGCTAAGGTTGCCAGTGCCCCCTTTGTTTCCCTCCTTAGGTGCCTCCAGGGGAAGGGTTGGGGAAACAAACTCACCTTTGGGTCCAGTTGTTGAGCCACCTGCTTGGTTGCCTGGCAGCCCAGACCCTTCTGTAGGGAAGGGAAGGGGGTCAGAAGAGGCCTGGAGGACAGAGGGCTGGGGAGGTCTCTCAGGACAGTCAGGGTGGAAGAAAGAAGGCAAGACTGGATTGAATGTACTCACATGCTGGGGGAGAGGACTCGCTTGGGGTCCTGTTCCCTACCCCATTGTGGTCACAGCCATGACATCATCGGAACGATCCCATGCTCTCAGCGGCTCAGTGCCCATGGCTCTGCCCCCCTCCCATATCCCCTCCTCTGCTGAGCCTCCCTCCTCGTTTCCCTCTCCCCTGGTCATTTTCTGGCTTGATTGCCTGGAAGGAGACTTAGAGATCTACCAGTTGGCCATGATGTCTTTCCTTTTCTTCTTCTTTTTCTTTTTTTTTTTTTTTTAACAAAACAACAAAACCAAAAAATGTCCAGATAATTGTGTTTGGTTGATTTATTTATAATTTGCAATGTGGGGGAGCAGATTTTGGGAGGCGGGCACTGTGTGGTCCCTGGACCTGCCCGTGCGGTAAAGGATGCCAAAAGGACAGCTAGTCCACCCTCCTCTTCCCTGAAGCCTCTTCTGAGGGGGCTCCCTGTCTCCAAAGTCTGAGCTGTCTGTCATTAGACACCTAGTGGGTGTGAACGTGGCTTCTGAAGGACAGCTGACCAAGGGCAGCCTCGTTGGGCCACATCAGGTGGTACGTGGAGCTGGGGCGTTTTTTAGGGCATACAGCATGTAGGGTTTGCATCTGGATTTGATTTATTAATTTTGTCTGAGGCAGGGGTGGGTGGGATACCTCCCTACAGTTGGGGAAAGGGGTAAACTCTCCAGCACATTCCTCAACTCTGACTGCCTGGATTCCTGACTGGGGGTGGTGCTGAGATTTGATCCTGAGGGGTTGGGAGTGGGGGCACCTTTCACTTTGTTGTGGACTCAGCTTCAGACTTTGTGCCCACGTGGTCTGACTGGATTCCTGGCCTTCCCCTAATGCTCCTCCTACCTCCCCACCTCTGTGCCACGTGCACATGTGTCTGTGGCTGGGACTTCCTTTTCAGGAGGTCACAGGCAACCTGGAGACCCTTTGTACCCAGAGTACTGCTCTCTGGGAGAGCTCCCTCCTGTCTGGCTGTGTCCTGGACTCAGTGCCTTCCCCAGTTCCAGAGGTGCGCCCAGATTTCTTATTTCACTGGCCGCTGACATCGTGGGCACCGGTCGGCATCAGGAGTCTGAGGCTGAAGCCACATCTCTCTAGTCCTGCCTGCAGCCACCTGGTCTCCTCCAGGCACTGCAGCACTGCGGCCGTGGGAGACAGAACAAAGCAGCGTGGAGGGCTGCTCCCTGGGACCCACTCTTCATAGAGCTTCTTCCTTCGGGTCCCAGGCTGTGGGCTGCTGGTGGGAGGTGCTGGGAGGTGGCGCAGGGTGAAGATTAAGTTTCAGGACCCTGACACAAGTTTAGGGAGAGCATCTCGTTCTGTCCCCTTTGTCTCCAGTCCCTTCTGATACTCCCGCGTTGCTGGAATATGCACTTTAAGGCAGGGCATGGTATCGAATCCTTTTTCTGTTCATGGGCCCCCAAATAAGCAGGGCCTGTTTGTTAGTAGCTGCCTGTATGGCCTGGGGTACGACTTTGTGCTACGCATGCATATGTGGGACGTGTTTGTGTGTGTGTGTGTGTGTGTGTGTGTGTGTGAATATAGCGCAGGAGTGAGTGAGCGCATAGGCTTTTCTGGGGTGTGTATGAATACCTGTATGATGTGTGAGTCTGGGTGTGTGTAGCTGAGCTGCACCTTTGGTGTGTCCATGTGGGCTGAGTCTGAGTGTGTGTGTGTCGGTGTGAATCTGTGCAATGTGAGCAGACGGAATGAAACGTTTGCAGAGTATGTGCTTGCCTCTTGGCTGTGAATGAGTGGACCCTTCCTCATAGGTGTCTCTTTTGCAGGGCTTAGCACAGGGAGTTAGAAGATGCGTGCTATCGGGAGGGGAAATTTCACATCCCACAGAAACTCCTCCCCCCACCTGCACTGCCTTCTTCCACAATAATGGAGCCAGGTCCTAGATGTCAAAAAGAAGGAAATAAGGACCAGCAGATGGCATAATGGTTACTACATTGCTGGACTTCCATGTAGTCGACTGCAGTTCAAGTCCCGAACCCAGCGACTTAAAACTCACACCTGTAATATGTGCGTGTGTGCCCAAAATCTCGAGAGGAGACTGGAGGAGAAGGGATTGTGGCATGGCCATCCCCCAGGGAGATGTCTCTATCTAGCGAGTGCATGCACCCTATAGCAAAAAAAAAGAGAAGGAAATGAAAACAGCTCTGTGTTTTGTACCCATTTACTCTTGAAATGGTGGGAATTTCCTGGAATGTTCCCTCTAATTGCCACCGGGGTGTCAATACCTCTGGTAGGGTGGGAGACCAAACCCTTGTGTCCTGATGGGGCCACCATACCTGGATGAACTTGAGAACTGAAGTCCTTGAGTACTCAGTCCTGCTTTCTCCAAGAAATGTCATTCCCTCCCATGGACCTGGAACAGGGGACTGGGGTGGGGGGGGGACTGCCGGCCTTGGGATCCCCTGGCCCATTGGTGCTGATCCGCATCAAACATTTGGTTTCCATTTACCAGCTCATTAGTGGAGATCAAGCCTTGATGTCGGCTGAGGGCTGGGGGCTGAGTTTTCCACTGGCAAGAAGGCAGGATGGGGGTAGGGAGAGGAAGGGAGACTTGGACTAACTCCAGCACTGGATTCAGGTGGAGGAATCTCAAGAGCTGGCCAAGCCTCCTGCCCCTCCCCCATGAGGCCCTGAGGTCTCAGCCACTGCCATGCCTTCTACTCCTTCCAGGAAAAGGTTGGTTGTCCTGACCCTTCTGCCCTCTGAAGTTAGCTGCTCCAGGAATGTCGTGAGGCATGTGAGGCACGCAGGACTTGGGGTGCCTGCTCATCCCCCTTCCTGGGGGTACATGACTGTGGTAAATGAACAAAACATTCCCAGTCAGCGAAACTCCCCCCTTCATGCCAGGCCCAGATGGCAGGGTCACCTCTGCCCTAAAAAAAGTCCAGATGATGTGGCCAGACAGAGCTGGGAGGCAGGGTGACCCCAGGATACTGGGTCCGCAAAGGGAAGAGGGGAGAAAAGGGACGGTTTATGAGTCAGCGAGAAGGACAATGCTGGGGGTGGGGAGCGAGGACAGTACACGGAGGAGAGACAATGGAACAGACCTTTGGGCACACGTGGAGGAGCAGACACCACCCAGGCCCCAGCCAATCAAGGTTCTAATTAGCTCTTCACTATTGGAGTGACCTGTCCCCTCTGTCTGAAGCCCCAGGGTGAGGAAGGGTTGGGGTCAGGGAGTAGAAGTGGGGAGGGCGGCACTGCAGATAATTAGAAACATGTTTTACTGAGCGAGGAGGCGCCACCAGGCCCACCTCTCCCCTCACTTTCCCCCTCTGTCCCTCAAGTCCCCAGCTCCCTTTTCCTTGACCTGGACAATTCCAGCTAGACTGGGGGAGGGGATGGGGGAGTCTGGAAGGAGAAACTCAGTGAGATTGGCTTCCCAGGCCCTTACACAGTCTCTAAAGTGCAAACAACATATTTTTGCCATGCGATGGTATTTAATTACACATAAAAACAGGGCCATTAAACTGAAATTAAACCCTTGTTGGAATCACTTAATTCAGGGCATGACAAATTGCTTTCAGTGGAGGCGGCAGCACAGTCCCCTGGGGGGGGACGATGGAGATTAGCAGCTTCCATAGCTGGCTGGGTCCCCTTGTTTTCTTAGCCCCCTTGCCAGCTCTCAGTTCTGAAATTGGGGTCACAACCTTCCTTCTAAAGACCACCCATGCTAAGGGGATACCTCTAGGTTTATTTGGGTTGATAGAAATAGAGCATTGGGGAATCACAGAAGCACTGTCCAACCCAGCTGTAGACAACCCAGCCTATTTTATTGATGGGGAGGTTGAGGCCCAGATGCCAGGGTCATCCAGAGCTAGGATTAGAACCCTGGCACCACGTCATGGCTAGAGAGTTCTTTTTTTCAGGCTTGTGTCTTTTGACCTGGGCCTGGAGAGGGGTTAGGGCTGGTGGGTGAGAGCTGGGGAACTAGAGTAGATGTTTCTACAACTGAATTCCCACCTGGGCAAAGTCTAGAGACAGCAGGGAGGGCAACATGGCCCTGGGGCTTGGGCTGCTCCAGTGGCCTTCACTTCCTGGAGGGCAGTGTGGTGTCTAGACTCTGGAACAGGTTAGACCTGGCTGCTTACCACCTGGGTGAAGCTGAGCAGGTAAGACCTTCTACTCTTTGAGCCTCAGTTTCTCCATCTGTCAAATGGCTGATTCCTATCTAGAGCTGCTGTGGAGCTTGGGGACGTATGATGTATGACCCGGGCTTGGGGCTGAGTTCACAAGTTCTCTTAGGCTTCCTTCTTTGGACTTCAGTTCTCCTATTTACAATAAGAACCAGCTGGGCCCAAAGGTTTGTTCTAGAACCTTCACTTGCTCGCTTTCTGTAGACTTTCCTTCTTTTTCTAGCTCTCTGTTTTCCTTCTCTCCTGCGTGGTTTGCACATCTAACTGAGGACAAAGGTCTGGGGTCTGTGGTTAAACAGCTGAATAGAAAGAGGGAGGCCCATGTGCCCTGAGGTTTCCCTGCCTTACTAGGTCTTCCAGGGCTGTGCGTGAGGTCCACCTGGGAGGTGAAAGGAGACCAAGTGGGGCAGAGGCTGTACTCTGGGGGGAGATTCTGGGGGGGGTGGTGTGCCACAGTGAGGTCAGGCCGCCTGACATCCGTGGCCTCGCTCCTGTCTTCTGTGCTCTCCTGTTCGGAACTAGATGATCTGCTCTAGCCAGAGGCCTTCTGATCAGTTCCCTCAATGTCTTCCCCCAGGAGGGAGAGAGGCACAGATTAAAGGGAAGGGAAGAGGTGCGTGTTGGGGGCTCCTTCTTCAGTGGAGCTGGAGGGAGAGCCCTCCTTCTGCTTCTCTGCTTTCCAGGCTTACGGCCTGGAAACTTTTCTATTAGCCCACGGAGGTGGAGATGGGGAGATGGCCAGTAGGGGGCAGGTGTCTCACCGTCGCCCGGGCAGTCTCGTACCTTAGGATGGCTGCCTCTGGGAGCAGTACTCCCACCCCTGCTCCCCTGCCCAGAAGAACAGCTCAAGGACAGGCTGACCACACTCATGCCCTGGTCTCCTCAAGTGCCTTAAGTGCAGACAGAGAGGTTTCTGCGCTGGGGGCCTGGGGCCAGCATTCCAGGCCTGGCAGTTCTCTGCTGCAGATGGTTCCCTCCGCCAGTCTGGCGGCCAGCACAAATGCTT